TTTTATGTATAGTTTCACAAAATTGAAGTCAAACCATTCTGTTTTTGCTTCAGATTTCGAAATGATACAACCTAATTTAGATTAAAAACTGCTGGTGTTGCATGTATGCAGCATCTTTGTTTGGATTGTGATTAAAATGCAGCGGTTGCCTCTAATGTTAAATGTTAAGAGCACAGACAAAGCCTTAGTTTGTTTATATGAAGAGATTTATTTTATGTGTGTTATTTATTTGATTTGGGGCTTGTTTTAAAATTTCAATTTAGTTTTGTTATTTACATTTAAATTGTTATTTAGCAGACACTTTTATCCAAAGCGGCTTACAAATGAGAAGCAATCAAAACCAACAAAAGAGCAATAATATGCAAGTGCTATATTAGTATATTATTATAGTGTTATATTTAAATTTCACAAAGAAACGTGCAGAGTTTTGTCCAAGCAATAATAAAAGGACACATTTAATTTATTTGTCTTAAATCTCATTTTGTAAAAACAAAATCGTGAGTTGAGTGAATCGTTACATCCCTACTTTTAAGCTTTTCTGGAGCTGTACAGCACGTGTTGCATTTTACTCCAGAAGGTTTTTTAGGTCGGGATGATGCTTCCCTCTCTCTGGTGCTCACTGATCTGATGCTGTTGACAGGGTTTCCCAGCGGAGCGGGTCAGAGATGTGCTGTCTCGGGTGCCAGTGGCACAGAAGTTTGCTAAATACTGGATCTGCCAGGCCAGACTAATGGAAAGAGCGGGAAACCTGGAGGTGCTGCCCATGTTTCAGGAGGCCATCCGTGTGGTGAGAGAGGTCAGTCTCTCTTTAGCTCCCACAAATACGTGTTTTCTTCCCTTGATGTTATTTGCTCGTTTGCTTCGGTTTAGTCCGGAAATCCGAGAAGCCTCAGAAGAGTTATTAGACTTCCCCCGGTTTCACAGACTAGTCCCAGACTAAAATGTAAGTCTGAGCGGTTTCAACTGAAAGGAACTTGCACTGACTGATCGTAAAATATACCAGTGCCTTTGTTTTGGCTCAAGATGCACACCAGAAATGTTTTTTTTCTAAGCATGTTTATAAAAATTGCTTAAATGTCTTAATTGAACTATGGCCTAGTCCTGGCTTAGCCTAAGCCGCGTCTGTGAAACCAGGCCTTTGTTTTGTTTTTTATGATCAATTATATTAAATGTTATGATGCGTTACCATGTTTTATTTAAAAATAATAATTTAAGAGTGAATGTAATGCTTTTATTGATTTTTATTTTGTTTTTCAAAGTGCTGTCAAACGATTAATAGCATCCAAAACAAAAGTTTTTGTTTACATAATGTGTGTGTGTGTGTGTGTGTACCGTTCTATAAATACACACACATACAATATATATTTTGAAAATATTTATGTATATAAATTTATATTCATTAGTGCTGTTAAACGATTAATCGCATACAAAATAAGGATTTTTTGCATAATATATATGTGTGTGTTCTGTGTATATTTATGTGTATATATAAATACAAACACGCATAGTATATATTTTGAAAATATTTATATTCAAATAATTTGTATTATAAATATATTTAATATATAAACATAACATATTTTTCTGAAATACATGCATGTGTGTGTATTTATGTATACATAATAAATATACACAGAACACACACACACACACACATTATGTACATAAAAACATTTATTTTGGATGCGATTAATCGTTTGGCAGCATTGTTTTTTTACTGTTATGATACAGCTGTTGTTTTTTTCTTAGAATGTAAGCTAATTCCTCTTCTTAGGCAAGAGCTTACAGTAACAGCAGATGACTGACTTTAGTGCGCGTGTAAAATTAAATCCAAATATCTCACAGCTTATGAGTAACCAATCTGTTTTCACTTATTGCGATATGTTTCGTAACAGCCAGTGGATGAGCTACGATCTGTGGTTTTTGAGATCCTTAAAAAGAGACAGATTCAAGGTAAAGGCATTCAATATTTTCGTCATCCAGTGGCATACACTACATTTTTTTAGCAATGACTTTTAACAAACTGTATGGCAGTGATTTTTAGTTTTACACTGCTGGTTTGAAATTCATACTTTTTAATATAGTTGATAGATGTCTCTTATGTTCAACGAAGGCTGCATTTTATCAAAAATACAGTGTTTAATAAAACATTACTGCAATAAAAAAACAAAACTATTTTCTACTTGAATCTCAGTTAAACTGTAAGCAGCACAACTGTTTTCAACATTGATTGTTGAGCATTAAATCAGAATATTAGGATGATTAGAATGCAATCACAGGAATAAATTACATTTTAAAATGTAATTTATTCCTGTGATTGCATTCTAATCATCCTAATATTCTGATTTAATGCTCAACAATCAATGTTGAAAACAGTTGTGCTGCTTACAGTTTAACTGAGATTCAAGTAGAAAATAGTTTTGTTTTTTTATTGCAGTAATGTTTTATTAAACACTGTATTTTTGATAAAATGCAGCCTTCGTTGAACATAAGAGACATCTATCAACTATATTAAAAAGTATGAATTTCAAACCAGCAGTGTAAAACTAAAAATCACTGCCATACAGTTTGTTAAAAGTCATTGCTAAAAAAATGTAGTGTATGCCACTGGATGACGAAAATATTGAATGCCTTTACCTTGAATCTGTCTCTTTTTAAGGATCTCAAAAACCACAGATCGTAGCATAATAAATATACACAGAACACACACACACACACACATTATGTACATAAAAACATTTATTTTGGATGCGATTAATCGTTTGGCAGCATTGTTTTTTTACTGTTATGATACAGCTGTTGTTTTTTTCTTAGAATGTAAGCTAATTCCTCTTCTTAGGCAAGAGCTTACAGTAACAGCAGATGACTGACTTTAGTGCGCGTGTAAAATTAAATCCAAATATCTCACAGCTTATGAGTAACCAATCTGTTTTCACTTATTGCGATATGTTTCGTAACAGCCAGTGGATGAGCTACGATCTGTGGTTTTTGAGATCCTTAAAAAGAGACAGATTCAAGGTAAAGGCATTCAATATTTTCGTCATCCAGTGGCATACACTACATTTTTTTAGCAATGACTTTTAACAAACTGTATGGCAGTGATTTTTAGTTTTACACTGCTGGTTTGAAATTCATACTTTTTAATATAGTTGATAGATGTCTCTTATGTTCAACGAAGGCTGCATTTTATCAAAAATACAGTGTTTAATAAAACATTACTGCAATAAAAAAACAAAACTATTTTCTACTTGAATCTCAGTTAAACTGTAAGCAGCACAACTGTTTTCAACATTGATTGTTGAGCATTAAATCAGAATATTAGGATGATTAGAATGCAATCACAGGAATAAATTACATTTTAAAATGTAATTTAAAAAAATGTGTTTCCTAATATTACTGTTTTTATTGTATTTTTAATTAAATAAATTCAGCATTGGTGGGCATAAGTGATGTCTTTTAAAAACACAAAAAAACTAATCAAGTTATTATTAATAATAATAAAATAACTAGAAAAAGATTGTCAAGACAAACTTTAGGTTGGCTTGAGAAAGCCTAGCCTGAAAGTTTAATGTAGTTGTAAAAGCCTGAAGTTTGAAAATTTAGATAGATATGATTAGCACGTTTTTAATTTGATTGGCTTGTTACTAGCATATTGCTGGCATGATTAACATGTTACTAGAATGATTAGCTAGTTTCTAGCATATTGCTAGCATGATTAGCAAGTAACTAGCATGTTTTGCTAGCATGATTAACAAGTAACTAGTATGTTTTGCTAACATGATTAGCAAGTAACTAGCATGTTTTGCTAGCATGATTAACAAGTAACTAGCATGTTTTGCTAACATGATTAGCAAGTAAACAGCATGTTTTGCTAGCATGATTAACAAGTAACTAGCATGTTTTGCTAGCATGATTGGCAAGTAACTAACATGTTGCTAGCATGATTAGCATGCTACTAGAATGTCGTTAACATGCTAGCAAGTGACTAGCATGATTAACAAGTGATTAGCATGTTGTTAACATGTTGTTAACATGATTAACATTCTACTAGCATGCTGCTAGCATGTCTCTAGCATGATTAACATGTTTCTAGCATTTTGTTAACATGCTACTAGCATTTTGCTACCATGATTTCTCAAGCCAACCTAATAATAAAAACTGCTGGCATGATTAGCTAGTTGCTAGCATGATTAGCTACTTACTAGCATGTTGCTAGCATTATTAACAAGTAACTAACATATTTTGCTAGCATGATTAGCAAGTAACTAGCATGTTGCTAGCAACTAGTATGGCACTAGCATAATTAGCATGTTACTAACATGTTGTTAGCATTATTAGCAAGTGACTAGCATGATTAACATGTCGTTAGCATGTTTCTAGCATGTTGTTAACATGCTGCTAGCATGTTGCTAGCATGATTTCTCAAGCCAACCTAATAATAAAAACAAGCTACTAGCATATTGCTAGCATGATTAACAAGTAACTAACATGTTTTGCTAGCATGATTAGCATGATTAGTAGTAACTAGCATGTTGCTAGCAACTAGTATGGCACTAGCATGATTAGCATGTTGCTAGCATGTTGTTAGCATTATTAGCAAGTGACTAGCATGATTAACATGTCGTTAGCATGTTTCTAGCATGTTGTTAACATGCTGATAGCATGTTGCTAGCATGATTTCTCAAGCCAAACTAATAATAAAAACAAGCTACTAGCATATTGCTGGCATGATTAGCTAGTTGCTAGCATGATTAGCTAGTTACTATCATACTAATATGAGCACGGTTGGGTTTCTGAGTGTGTGTGTGTGTGTGTGTGTGTGTGTGTGACCGTCTGCTCTAGAATAGACTAAATTATTGTACAGCACGGTGCCTCAAAGAGTTTGTGCGTATATGAGTATATAAAGTAACAAACATATTTTGCTAGCAACTAGTATGGCACTAGCATGATTAGCATGTCGTTAGCATGTTTCTAGCATGATTTCTCAAGCCGACCTAATAATAAAAAAACAATTTAAATCATTCAGGTTTGTCTCTGATGCCAAAAGAGTGAAGCAGAAGAGACTGGAGCGTGTGATGAAGAGCACACCCCAAAACCCTTCAGTGCCCTCATATCTGGAGCGAGGGGAGACTCGTCTGTCGTCAAGTATAAAATCACAGCGACCCCAGGGTGAGACACCTGCACACTTACTAGGGCTGTCAAAAAAAATTAGATTTTCAAATATTCCTCCAATTTAAAATATAAATCCACATTCGAATGTTAGGCGTGCATCAGGCAGCTTATCAGCGGCACACGAGATGCGATGACGATGTGAGTGTCGTTGTATTTGAATGCTTTTGTTAGTCTATCCAGCTGAAGCCACTAGATGCGGCGCTGCTGCGTAGTTCATTACAAATATTGCGGGAACAGAGAACATCAATGCAGAGAAGATGTTGTTTACGTCAAAACTGAAACCAAGCCGTTCACACAGAACACATATTCTAGAGGGACATCTATCACCGCTGCACTCGCGTCTCGCACAAGAGAGACGCATGTTTAGAAAGCCATGTAAAATTAATACAACTTTAACTTAAAAAAAAAAAAACACGTCTTGAGACTTTATGGCAGTTTTTCGCATCCCACTGCATCCAAGACTGAGCGTTCAGGGGCAGCCTCCCTGGCTGGGTCGGGACAAGACAAATGTTCACAAACGGCCTCCATAGCCGTGACAGGACAGACAAAGCATTCCCAGACGACCTCCTTGGCCGGAACAGAACAGGCAGATCGTTCACTGACGACCTCCTTGGCCGGAACAAGACAGACAGAGAGTTCATAGGCGGCCTCCTTGGCCGGGACAGGACAGGCCGAGAGTTCATGGGCGGGCTCTGCAGCGGATGCCGCCACCTTTGGAGGTTCTGCAGTAGTGCCCTCAGGATACAGGGAGAGTTCGGCAAAGGTTTTTTTCGACCCTGACATGACAGGTCGAATGTGCGTTTCTAGGCGCCACCACCACGCAAGGAGCTGAAGCGAGCACCGCTGCTTCGGAAGGTTCTGCAGCATGTGCCGCCACCTTTGGAGAAACTGCAGCAGGCACCATCACTTCGGGGAACACAGCAGCGAGCACCACCACCTCAGGAGAGACTGTAGCTGTCAACTGTGACTTGACTGAACTCAGGAAAATCAGCTGTGACTTGACTGAACTCAGGAAGATCAGCTGTGACTTGACTGAACTCAGGAAGAACAACTGTGACTAGACTTGACTCA